ATTATATTATTTATTTATTACGCTCAACTCCATTAAATATAAAATGTATAACAAGCTATTCGACTATCCAGAATATGAAGAAAACTGATTCTCTTTAACAAGAATTCTTTCCCAAAGAAGAGTGTCAAGTTTCAGAACTACTTGGAAACAAAAAGTTACTTTATTTAATTTATAACTGTGGGAACTTCTTAATAGCAGGCAAGTATTTTCTCCATGATAAAGTTATGAAGTGAATAAAATGGTTAATTCCAGGAATTACATCAGGAAAAATAATTAAAATCCAAATGGATTAATTTTATTCTCCCTTAAAACAAGATTTTTTATAAAACAAAATTTGCTAAATATGTGCCATGTGTTAGAATCATAGACTACAACCTTTAAGATACAAAAGGGTTATTAATGAATATGTAATCTAATTCCATCTTCATGCAAATAGGGAAGGAAACAGTCTCAAAACAAAGTGACTTTCCCAGTTATCTTTAGAGTTTATTTTTAGATGTCCAAATTACATATTTTTTAAAATTAAATAACTAACTTACAGTCACTGCTCTTATCTACCTGAATGTTTGACACTGTGAAACTAAGAAACTATGAAGGTAGTTATTGTTTGCATGACAACACATAATCAAACACTAGACAAAGTTAAAACAAAAAACAGGAAAGACTAAAACAGCAATATTTTACTCACAGCAACCCAGATGTATTTTTCAGCTCATTAATGCTCTTTTCTGGAACTTTACTGCCACTAAACCATTTTTTAGTTGCAGAAAATAGAGATCGACTCAAACCTTTTCTTGATATTAGCTAAGAAAAAAGATTAAATATGTTGACAAATAAGGATTTAATATTTTTTTTGTTTACATACAAAAAAATTTTTAAATAACCTTTAAAAAGCTTTAGTAGTGGGTAAATAATGATTATAATAACACTGATTTTTTTCTTTAAACTACCTAAAGAGCTAGGAATGTAGCTCAGTGGTAGAGCATTTGCCTAGCACAAATGAGGCCCTGGGTCTAGTTCTCAGGACCACACACACAAATTAATATGATGGTAAAAAACTGAAAATGAAAAAGTTTCTTCTAGGACTGAATAGAGTTTCATCACTGATAGGAATTTCAGTAAGTACTAACAATGACCTACTGTAAAACAAAAATCTTAAAATTCTTTAAATAATTTATATTACATTCTTTAGTATTTACTTAAATTTGAAAAATAAAATCCAAAAAGTTAAGTGTTACCTGATCATTTAATTGCCGAATTGTTTTCTCTATATGTGGCAAAAGGCCCCGAAATGTAAACTCTTGTATAAATTGTCGAATTCTATCATGATCGGTAAGTGTTAAACATGCACCATGAATTATTCCAGTATTTGCTTTCTTTGTTTCATGTAATGATGAAGCAGATTTTACATGATCTGGGCCATCAATGCTGTTAGAAGGGTCACTGGATTGGTCCAATTGAAGTGGGTGAGCTCTAAAGTTATTTGGTAAGCCATCTACTGAAAAAAAAAAAAAATCTTTCTTTTACTCTCAGAATGCAAGAGAAAATGGGAAAACTACTACCCCACTCTGCTAAATTTAAAAAAAAAAAAAAAAAAAAAAAAAACAGAAAAATGGAACCCTACAATCTCTCCATACACCTTAGACGTCTAAGATTAACATTTAATCGTTAATCGTTAACATTTTCACCCCTACATTTAAAGGGTTTGAGCTTATACTTGCTACATGTAATAGAAATTTAAGAATTCAGGTAAATTGGGAAATAAAGAAAAATAGTTTTAAATTAATATAAAGAATTATTTTAAAATATCACAACTAAGCCATAAGAAAAATTACAACAAAAAATATTTAGAGCTATTATTACCAAAACTGTAATTAAAAATACAGAAATACAGCTCTCAAAATCATTTAAATTGGGGAAATAATTAATGTCGTACATCACATCTTCCCTTGCTTTCCACGAATATTGTTTTTAAAAAAACTGATATATTATTCTTATAAAACAAACTTTAAAGGTCAAAAATCAAACTCAAAGGATTCAATAAACACTTCAGAAGAAAAGCTAACCTGATCATTATCTTTTTGTTTTACAAAAATTTCCCCATCTTTTATCTATAAAGGTTAGCATGCTTTGACAACAATATGTTTTCTATCAAAAGAGTATATCAAGAAGTATATCAAGACCTTTGACTTCGTTATCTAATCCATCCAATGAAAGCAAGTTACTATCAGAATTCTTATTTGAAGTTATAGTACAAGGGCCATCTTCATATGATTCCTAGCAAAATAAAATAAAACAGCATTAACAATCATTTTATCATGTTTAAGATACCACCAAATCCATCAACAAGTATGATTACTCTGCTAACCACTGGCTTCATATGAACTATTTGTCTTTTCTTCTAGTCCTCTAAATTTCTACCTTCTTCCATGTTCTTTTGTTGTTATTGTTTGTTTGTTTTTGCAGGACTGGGAACTGATCCCAGGACCTCAATCAAGCTGGACAACTATCCTACGACTGAGCTACATTCCTCAACTCTATTTTTATTTTATTTTGGAATAGTTGCCCAGGCTGGCCTTGAACTTGTGATCCCCTCAAGTAGCTGTGATTACAGGCATGCACCACCATACCCAGCCTTATGTATTTTATTCTAACACTCTAATCCACTTAACTCCTTAATTAAGAATAAGTAACAGTCCAGGATGGGGTGGGGGTGGATGGTGGAGATAAAAAGTATTTTGAATACACAGTACTATTAGAATTAACCCCCTATAAGGAGATTATGAACAAGCCCAGAAGTGGTGAGAGGTTTCTTGGAATATCTGATGAGTAGAATTTGAAAGAAAGGTAGTTGGGATGTGATAGCCATAAAGGCATTTCTGATAAAGTTTTAAATTCTTCACCACTCAATTTACTAGTCTAATTCTTCTGAATTTAAATGACCTCTATCTCAATTTATTTATATGTGATATATACATATATACACATTTGAATATACACAGATATTTATATAGGTATATACGAATGTCTATGAATCTAAAGGAATGATGGCAAGGAATGGACTACTAGAGTCAGGGGGCAAAAAGACAAAGGAGTATAAAATCTCCTAAGTCATGTTCACAATGCTAGCATGTTTGAGTGGATTATGAATATATTCAAGTGTTTTGAAAAAATATCAAATGCAAAGTACACTGGTACAAAATTCACTGGTACAAAGGCACTGCTTTCTCAGTCAACAAAGAAAAATTAAAATACACAAGCTACTCCATGAGAACAGTAAATATGAAATTATTCTGAGTGCCACACTTTGAGGAAAATATGTAAACTATAATTTCTTAAGGAAACTATCTGAAACAACCTCTTGAGAAAGACCAAAAAACTGGGTATAGTTAGTCTAGAAAAATATAAAAGGGGACAGAGAGCTATCCTTCTACATTTTGAAAGCTTACAATGAAAAACTGATATGCCCCCCACAAAAGGACCAATGTGAACAAACAGTGAAAATGTTAGGTTGACCCTCAACTTCAAGCTGTTCTGAAATACAACTGGTTACTTAAGGAGATAGGAAGTGCTATCAGTACTTCATAGATTTAAAGGAAATTATAACATGGATCGGAGATTGATACCTCTGTCTTCCATTAAAAGTTCTCAAACAGGACAACTTGATTTACATTTCCCTTTACATGGCTAAACTCTAAATCAAAACTTTCAGTATTGTTTCTATTCTGAGGATGGCCCTGAAAGGCTATTTTTAAAACTCAAAACTTGTTAACATACAACTGGTTCTTTTTTGCCTAAAGAATTTTCCCCAACATATCTCAAAGAAGGTTAGCAATCATTTCAATATTTAAATGAGTAAAATATTGGAATAGCACAATGTCTAGACTAAAAATTTCATATTATATAAACAACTTAAATAAATCTTTAAACAATATTCAATTAGAAGATCAATACTCAATTAGATCAATACTTCATTTTATAATTGATGTCTTTAAAATAATGTCACATAAAGAGCACAAAATACAGCTTATTTTCCTTCTAAACAACAAAAAAAAAAATTTTGATTATCTACCTAAGCAAAGGAACTTGCATTTCCCTATTACCAAGGGCATACAACTGTAAACTTAGATGTTTGAAAACACTTAAAACCTTACTCCTATCCACTTTGGTCAAAAGACAATTAATTAAGTCTAGGACTATAGATTAAGAAAGGAGTGAGGGAAGAAAAATAACACTTCCTAAAAATTCAGAAGAAAATGAAACCAAAGGAAAGCTCAGAAGGAAAAGCCCACCCAACTAAAAGGTATGAGCTCCGAAATCCAAAAGAACATCATGTTGAAAATGTAGACAGCAACCCCAGAGCATGTGGATAATAACTGTGAGCATTTACAATAAATTTAATGGACAAGTAAAAAATTCTATTATATTCATGTCTAGCCAATCTAATTCAGTTTTCATTGTATAATTCATTTTTAATCTTTTAAGAAAAAAGAGCAATTAACACTATTATACACCTGAGAAGAGTTGCAGTTGGTTAAAAACAGCTTTTGAATCTGATTTAAAAGCTCACAGCGGATAGCCAGATTCCACGAAATAAATATTAGTAACTGTACCAATTTAAAAAAAAAACATAAAAAATCCTACATTTATACTATTATGTCATAAAACTGAAATACAACTTTTGTGGTTTGCTTCATTATTATTATTGTTGTTGTTGTTGTTTTACATATACCTGGTTTTGAATACTACTTTTCTGGAGATACTGACTCCAAGGATCTGGTATCTGTTCATCTGATGCTCGATTTGACGTTCGAGAATTAATTTTAAGCAAATAGCAACCCTGAGTTCCATATTTCTGTTTCATTTCTTCATAAATTGATTCAGCTCTGAAATTAAAAAAAAAAGAAAAAGAAAAAATTTAAGAAAAAAGAAAAAGCATCATAGTAACTAGGGAGCAGACTTTAGATAAAAGATCTTAATATAAAAATAATACTCAAAAAAAGGCAAAACAAAATTAGGATTAAATAGTAAAGTGGAGTTACCAAAGTAGGTTCCATGGAGTAAAAAGTCTGTTATTCAAAAGAAATATATTCCTGTTACTCAAAAGAAAATCTAGGTGATCAAACTAGTTTGGGGAAACTATTAAAAAAAAAAAAGAATTTCCTTACAAGAATCCACCTCTGAGCTTTCTATGAGACAATACACGCTATCATTTACCAACCCAGCTTAAACTCATAAACCAGCAGTGCTTCCTTTCAATGAAGGGACTAGTCTTCAGGGAATAGAACCTGAAGGAATTCTCTGAGAACATTTTTCAACAAACCAAAGTGCTAACATAGAAAATTAGCTGGGCACAGTGGCACATGCCTATAATCTCCACTACTTCAGGGAGGCTACATCAGGAAGATCGCAAATTTGAGGCCAACCTCAGCAATTTAGCAAGATCCTACCTCAAAATAAAGAATTAAAAGGATTGGGGATGGAGTTCAGAGGTGAACTGCCCGGGTTCAATCCAGCAGGGGCAGTAGCGATGGGGGGGGATCGACCTCCAAAATCTTACAAAACAGGACAGAGTTCAGAAGAAGTAGAAGAAAACAAGGCATTTATTACATAAAATCCACCTATTTTTCTTACAAAATTTATAGTTGATGAATCCATGAGCTGTTTCTCAGATGCGACAAAATAAATTCTGATTACATACCTTAAAAAAACTAAATATACTAGTGTACTAGGTTGCTCTCGCAGGTAAGATAATTCAATTCAAATTATAAAATGGCCTAAGAAGCAAATAGTAGGGCTGGGGATGTGGCTCAAGCGGTAGCGCGCTCGCCTGGCACGCGTGCGGCCCGGGTTCGATCCTCAGCACCACATACAAACAACGATGTTGTGTCTGCCAAAAACTGAAAAATAAATATTAAAATTCTCTCTCTCCTCCCTCTCTCTCTCTCTAAAAAAAAGCAGCAGCAAATAGTACAAACTATGGGAAATGAACTTTTGGGTCCACAAGGCTAAACCAGTTAAAATGGGTGTTTTTCAGTCAATCAGCTATCCTGGGAGTGGAACCAAAAAAAAAAAAAACCTGAATTATTCAACTGCAAATGCTGATATTACACAAAACAAGCCGAGCAAACAACTACATCATATCATACTCTATAAAGTCTAAATTAATAAAATTAATTAAAATTTATATAAATATATGTATATACATACTCAAGTTCAATAAATCAAACTCCAGCTCACTGTACCAATGATACCACTAAAAATAAAACCACTGATCTAATTACTTCAATGACTACTTAAATATCCTTATAACCACCATTTAATATATAAGATATAAACCCTACAGAACTCATAGAAACTAATTTTAATAGATAGTTCAAATTATTACTATGTAAATAATATTCTTTATCCAATAAGGCTACAGACATTTCCAAAAATTCTAAAGACAATCCTCAAAGTAATTCTGTGGTTCTATTGAGTTTAATTTATTTTAATTTATTTTAAAAATGAGGCAAAGGATGTAGCCCAGTGTAAAACATGTGCTTAGCATACCAAAGATCCTAGGTTCAATACCCAACACTCAATGAATAATGGTTTGTGCTCAGAACATAGGTAAGAAATTATTATAAAATTAGATATCCTAAATGGTACCAAAGTATCAAAATAACAGGGGCTGGGGACATGGCTTAGTGGTACAGCACTTACATTGGAATAATAAAACAACAGATTAATTTGATCCACACCTTGAAAAAAAGACCAAAATAAACTACAAATAAAATAATAAATAAACTGCTTTTAATATTTATTTTTCAAGAATTTATTTTTTTAATACAACTGATTCATGAATCCCAGAGGTAGAAGTATTACTGCAAATCGCTAATAATGAATATTAAAGGAAACTTAAAAAAAAAATGCTTGAATTTTTGTTGTTGTTTTGTTTTTTGGTATTGAGGACTGAACCCAGAGGCACTTTATCAATGAGCTACATTCCCAGTCCTTTTAATGTTTTATTTTGAGACACAGTCTCCACAAGATGTTGAGGGTCTCACTAAATTGCTGAGGCTGGCCTCGAACTTGTGATCCTCCTATCTCACCCTCCCAAGTCACTGAGATTACAGGCGTGCGCCACCACACCTGGCTGTTTGGATGTTTTTGAGAATGTGAAGAAAACCAAGGCTGGACAAGAGAGGAAACAGTGAAAACCGAGGTGCCTATAATAGCAGGCAGTGAAAAGTTAAAGGCAAAACTGGGACAGGGAAAAGAAATGAGAAATAATTTTACATAATGTAAGAAATAACAATTACGGTCTACTGGTATAGAACCTCAAGTGTTTTATATACAAAGACTATGTAAGAGATAGCTATTGAAGAGAGTTTGGGTAAATATATGAAAGCTACATTAAATGATTCAGTTGTTGGATGTAACTCCAGAAAAAAGATAAAACTAATTCTATTATTAATAAATTTATACTACAACAAATTTTTACTTTTTATGTAAAAAATAAATCCAAAACTTAAACAAGCCATGTCCAAATTAATGTTAAATCATTAAATAAGAAAAAAATTAAAAATAAAACTTACCTCTGTTCATCTCCTGCGCTTACATCATGTAAAAGTACATAATATTTGAGTGTATTTGGTATAAACCACTTAGGGTAGGAATAATCATTGTTGTGCTGAATCCGATGCTGCTCTTGTGACAATTTTGAAAACTGTTCCATAGGTTCAACTTCATTAGATGATGCTACCAACATACCTTGTAAACCATATTATTAAGGTAATTATCACTTATTGCACAATATGATCATCTTATTAAGATAAACTTTAAGGAGATATTTCCCAACCAGAAAAAAATATGATTTCATAGATTTTCACTGCAAGCACAAAATAATTTCTCCAAGTCTTCAAAGTTCTAAATCTTAAAGATTTTTTGTTCAGAGTTTTTAGGTTATTTACATGTTCAATAGGAAATTCCTAAAATAGACAATATCAAAATTATATAACTATCAACATAATGACAGATTCTTGTACATCATGCTTATCTCCATTCTGCCTCAGTGCAATTTCATCCACTCAAAGTGGATCAAGGACCTAGGAATTAAACCAGAGATACTGCGTCTATTAGAAGAAAAAGTAGGCCTAAATCTCCATCATGTCGGATTAGGCCCCAACTTCCTTAATAAGAATCCTATAGCACAAGAATTAATATCAAGAATCAATAAATGAGATGGATTCAAACTAAAAAGCTTCTTCTCAGCAAAAGAAACAATCAGTGAGGTGAACAGAGAGCCTACTAATTGGGAACAAATTCTTACCACATGCACGTCAGAGCACTAATCTCTACAATACATAAAGAATCAAAAATCTTAACACGAAAAAACCAAATAACGCAATCAATAAATGGGCCATGGAACTGAACAGACACTTCTCAGAATATGATATACAATCAATAAATAAATATATGAAAACATGTTCAACATCTCTAGCAATTAGAGAAATGCAAATCAAAAATACTCCAATCATCTCACTCCAGTCAAAATGGCAGCTATTAGGAATATAAACAACAATAAGTGTTGGCGAGGATGTGGGGGAAAAGGCACACTCATACATTGATGGTGCAGCCAATATGGAAAGCAGTATGGAGAATCCTTGGAAAACTTGGAATGGAACCACCATTTGACCCAGCTATTCCACTCCTAGGTCTATATCCAAAGGACTTAAAAACAGCAAACTACAGGGACACAGCCACATCAATGTTTTTAGCAGCACAATTCACAATAGCTAAACTGTGGAACCAACCTAGATGCCCTTCAGTATATGAAGATAAAGAAATTGTAGTATATATACACAATGGAATGTTACTGAGCAATAAAAGAATGAAATCATGGCATTTGCAGGTAAATGGATGGATCTGGAGAATATAATGCTAAGTGAAATTAGCCAATCCCCAAAAAACAAGTCCTGAATGATTTCACAGATTTAAGGATGCTGATTCATAATACACTGGGGAGATAGAGGGGGATGGGAGGATTAAATGAACTCTAGATAGGGCAAAGGGGAAAATGGGCGGGAGGGGAAGGGAGGAGCCATAGGGGTAGGAAAGATGGTGGAATGCGATGGTCATCATTACCCTAAGTACATGTATGAAGACACGAAGGATGTGACTCTACTTTGTGTAAAACCAGAGATACAAAAAATTGTGCTCTATATGTGTAATATGAATTGTAATGCATGCTATTGTCTTATATAACAAATTAAAATTTTTAAAAAATTTAATTAAGCACAATATACACAAGTTAGAAAAATAATAAGCAATATAAGTCTTATAATCAAAATAAATCAAAAACTAATTTATTATAGCAATTATACATCAAGTATGCCATTTAACAAAATAACAATAACAAAAACTTGATATATCATCAATAAAAAATAATTTATCACTGGACACAGTGATACACACCTATAATAATCCTAGCGACTTGGAAGATTGAGGCAGAAGGACTGCAAGTTCAAGGCCAGTCTGAACAACTTAGTAAGACCCTCAGCAACTTAGGAGACTCTGTTACAAAAAAATTTTAAAGAACTAGAGATGTAGCTCAGTGGTAAATATCCTTGGGTTTGAGGCCCAGTACCAAAAATAATAATTATTATTTTTATAAATGTTAATACTAATTACTATTTATCAGCCTGGGAATACACCGCAGTAGTAGAATGCCTGCCTAGCATGCTCCAGGCCCTGAGTTCAGTACCCAGTACTGCCAAAAATAATAATAATTTCTGTACTCCATATAACCTTTCAATAATTTTGCCTTCATTCAGTTATTTCTGAGAGTAATAACTTCCATAATATTTGATTTTAAGAGAATTGAAGTAAAGGATACATGCTAAATAGTGGTTCAGAAATTCATGATCTGATGCTGGCATCGACTGAAGAAAGGTCTCTCTATAAGACTCAAACCATGGAGTAGTAGCTAAAATTAACAATATATAAAGTTAGAATTCCTCAGTAAAATCAGTTCACAACAAATGAAATTTCAATTCCATATTCTTAAAAGATATTTAAAAATGATAATTTTATCATTAAGCAAGCATTTTCATCTGTCCCTTAAAATACATATCACGTATATATATATATACACACACACATATTGAGTCATTCACCCTAATATATTCATACATTAGAGTATATGTATTTGCAAAAATAAAATCGAGTTATTCTCAAACCTCCACAATGTTCCCACTACCCACTTACCTATTAATGCTCTAATATAACTTATGTGAATAAAAATATTTCAGAACCAAAGTTCAGTGTTACTAATCACACTGTCATAAGCAGATCCTACTCATAAACAATACTTTAGAGCACTGGTTCTCAATTGATTTTAACCCCTGAGAAAACATCTGGCAGAGTCTGGAGGTATTTCTGGTTGTTACAACT